GTGAATTTGCACTGTCCCAGGAGGGCCGGTATCGACCCCCCTGACGTTCCCTTGTAAACAACGATACGCGGGGACATCTTTTGTTCTAACATAGCACTTTTTCACAAATCCCTTGCAACAAATGAGACGAAGTGCACACGCGCGCGTCGTCGCGCGCGCATGCCGAAATCCTCTAAAAAACTTCGGTGCCGGAAGGATTTCGCAATCGAGTTCCCAAAAAACATAAAAAACACGTGGTTTCGCAACACTGATTTCCTAAAAAAGTTTACGCGCGAGCTCTTGTTCCCGGATGTTCACAAAATGCTACCAAACGGGCTTCGCGCGCACGCATGTCGAAATCTGTCGAACGCCCTTGCGCGTGTGCCGTCGCGAGAATCCTTTGCAAAAAACGGGACGAAGTGCAGACGCGCGCGTCGTCGCGCGCGTATGCCGAAAACCTTCAAAACCCATCGGCTTCGGAAGGATTTCAACATCGTGTCCCAAAAATCTACGAACACACAAGGTTTCGCAACACGGATTTTCAACAAAAGAGTGCGCGCGCGCTCTTGCGTCGTCGTCGTCGTCGCCGTCCTCCCTCCTCCCGCGTCGTCGTCGTCGTCGTCGCCTACGTCGTCCTCTGTCCTCGTGTTCGTCGTCGTCGTCCTCTTTGGCGTCGTGGTCGTTTCTGTCGTCGTTGTCGCCGTGGTCGTCCTTCCTCCTCCTCCCTCGTCGTCGTCGTCGTCCGTCGTCGGCGTCTCGTCGTCGTCCCTCCTATTTCGTCGCCGTCGTCGTCGTCGTCGTTGTTGTCGTCGTCCTCGTCGTCTTCCCTCCTCCCTCGTCGTTGTCGTCGTCGGCGTCGCCGTCCTTCCTCCTTTTTCGCCGTTCGCGTCGTCGCCGTCTTCCCTCCTCCCTCGTCGTTGTCGTCGTTGTCGTCGTTGTCACCGTCGTCGTCCTCCCTCCTCCCTCGTCGTCGTCTTCGTTGGCGACGTCGTCGTCGTGTTCGTCGTCGTCGTCGGCGTCGGCGTCGTCGTCGTCTTCGTCGTCGTCGACGTCGGTGTCGTCGTCGCCGCCGTCGTCGTCGTCGTCGGCGTCGTTAACGTCGTCGTCGTCGTCGTCGGTGTCGTCGTTGTCGTCGTCGTCGGTGTCGTCATCGTCGTCGTCGTTGTCATCATCGTCGTCGTCGTCGGCGTCGGCGTCGTCGTCGGTGTCGTCGTCGTCGTCGTTGTCGGCGTCGTCGAAGTCGTTAAAGACGTCGTCGGTGTCGTCGTAGTCGTTGTCGGCGGCGTCGTCGTCGTCGTCGTTGTCGCTGTCGTCGTCGGCGACGCTGTCGCTGCCAAGTGCCATTTGGTACCCACCGTCACGGTCTTAAGAAATTTTGCGAACCAAGTTGCGGGTGGGTGGGTGGGATGCTTGCGCGAGCAGTGGAGTGGACAACTCACTGCGAACAGGAATTAATTGCACCGCGTAGATTGCACGATATGGAATCCACCACAAATATCTCACCACAGGGACTGCGCCATATAGATAGCACCGCATATTTTGCACCGCGTGCGCTGCGGCAGATAGATTGCGCCACGTAATTGCCCCACGTAGGATTCTCCTTTCTCGTAAGAGATTAGACCCTCCCCCCAGGATTATCGGCGCCCCGCTGCATGTTGCAATTTGCATATGATTCCGCCCTATCGTGGATCCGAGGTATGAATTCGCACCATCCCAGGAGGGCCAGCACCCCCCCGCCCGCCACCCGACGCAACAACTACTGTGCGCGCACTCCGTTTATTTATCTACACAACATTCAATATGGAAAAAAACCTTGCGAAAATACTACGACATGCACGCGCGCGCGCGTGCCGGAATCCTTCAGAAACCTCCGACGTCGTGAGGAATCCAAAATAGACAGTCCAAAAATCAAAATTCAAACAATGGATTTCGCAAAGCGGACTTTCAACACAAAGCTTGCGCGCGCGTTCCCGCGAATTCAAAGAAGCCGTGAGTTTGTCATTATTTCCCGATACCGCGAGCAAGCAAACTTCGCGAGCGCGCGTCGGAATCCTTCGAGCGCCCTCGCGCGCGCGCCGTCGCGAGAACGGCGTGCAACAAAAAACGAAGTGCGCGCGCGTCGTCACGCGCGCATGCCGAAATCCATCGACAACCGCAAGTGTCGCAACAAAAATCAGAATCGAACGCCCCGAACGCGAAAAGTTTCGCCGCGCAGATGATCGAAAAAGCCGGTGCCCGCGGTCTTGCGAATTCTTATGACAAGCGCAAGTCCTGCAACATGTGCATGACATGCTGCCGCGCGGGCCTCTCGCGGGCGCGCGAGTCGAAATCGCTCGAGCACCCTCGCGCGCGCGTTGCCGCGAGAATCCCTCCAACGAGTTGGAAAAAGTGCACGCTCGCGCGCGCCGAAATCCACGGGCAAACTTTAGCTTTACAATGTCTTGTAACGTCGCTGTTCGGGAACAACAAACTGCGCTCGCGCGCGCGCTTGCAGATGTTTCAGAATACCGCGAGCCCTTCGCGATTTGCGTTGCAGTCTGCCAGACGGGCCCCTCGCGCCACAAGTCCAAATCATTCGGGCGCCCTCGCGCGCGTGCAGGGGGCGGGCACGACTCGCGCCATGACATGCCGCGCGGGCCACTTTCGCGCGTCGGCCGCGCGCGCATGTCGAACACCCTCCAAAACTTTCATCACCGACGCGAGGACGCCGTCATCGTCGCCGGCGCGATCAGCATCGCCGCCGTCGCTGGCCTCGTCGTCGTTATCATCATCGTTGCCAACATCGCTACTATAATCATCGTCTCTCCCCTCGTCGTCGTTGGCATGATAGAGCGCCCGCCCAAATCACCGACTCGCACAGGAGTGCCCGTGTCCAGCGGCAAGCGCCTCCGCGGCCGCGTCTGTCGCGCCAAGTAGCTGGCCGCTGCCCACGAGCGCGCGAGGGCCGGCGCGTCCGCGGCGATGCGCCAGCCAGCGACGAGCAGACACAACCGCCGCCGCGCGGGCGTTGGAAATCAAGTTGCGGGTGGGTGGGTGGGGCGGTTGCGCCAGCAGGTGGAATTGACAACTTCATGCTCGGCATGGCGAATCGCGCCGCGCAGGTTCTCCATTAACCCCCCCTGCCCCCCAGATTTAACGCCCCCCATGTATCGCATTGTAAATTACATGCGCCTCTGCCCCATCGCCCATCCGAAGTATGAATTCACGAATTCATGCCATCCCATTCGGGACGGCATCGACACCTCCCTCGCCCTCTGCCAAAAAATATGCGAGCGCACGCGTTCATCAAAAATGATCAATTCCCAATATTGGTTTGCAAAAACATGGCGCGATGCACGCGCGCGCGTCGTCGCGCGCGCGTGCGGGAAATATCTCGAACACCTCAGGTCTCGCAAGGATCTCACAGACGAAAGTCCCGAAAACATGACAAATCATCGGGTTTCGCAGCAAGAAGGTTCGAGAAAAAAGCCGCACCCCTGCAGGTTCTCAAGAGAAACATGCGTTGTTAGACAATGCCATAGCATGCTACAAAATGCGCTTCTCGCGCGCGCGCGCGTTCTGTCGCAAAACCCTTGCAAAAAGCGGGACGATCTGCGCGCGCAATTTGTCGCGAGCGCATGCCGAAATCCGTCTCAAGCCGTAGTTTTCGAATGGGCTTCGAAACTGAATTGCCCCGAAAACGCATAAAAAAACACATGGTTTCGCGACATCAGTTCTCGCTCGCATGCGAGTCCGGACAAAAAACTTGCGTTTTCAACGTGTTCCTGAAATTCTGCCAAACGGACCCCTCGCCCCGCACGATGGAATCATTCGGACGCTCTTGCGCGCGCGCTGGGGGGGAGGGGGTGGGGCGCGATCCGTCTCAAATGACACCATGCGGGCCACTCTCGCGCGTCGGCCGCGCGCGCGCGTGCCGAACTCCCTCGAAAACCTGCAACACCGACGCCAAGGCGCCATCATCGTCGCCGGCGTGATCAGCATCGACGCCGTGACTGGCATTGCCACAGCGGTTGTCACCATCGTAACCAGCATCGCTATTATCATCGCGTCTGCCTTTGTCGACGTTGCCATGATACTGCGCCCGCCCAAGCCGCCGACTCGCACTGAGTTGCCCACTGCCCAGCGGCCATCGCCACTGCGGCCGCGTCGGCAGCGCCAAACTATATGGCCGTTGCGCGCGCGAGCATGCACGGGCTGGCGCGGCCGCAGAGATGCACCAGCCAATGCCAAGTACTCAACGCAATCGCCGCCGCATGGGTTCTGCAACACAATTTGCGGGTGGGTGGATGGGATGATTGGGCGAGCAGTGGCGTGGACAACTCTATGCGAACACCAATTCATTGCACCACATGGATTGCAGTACACATGTTGCACTACATACGTTGCACCACATAGGTTGCACCGCATGGGTTTGCTCCGTTTTGATTTCACCATCTGGATAGTACCACGTGTATTTCTCCACATCGATTGCACCACGCATATTGCAAACAACAATCCACTGCTTCGGGTCAGCGCTGGCGAACGCCTAGACGCATTGTTATTGACATGTAACTGGCGATCGGAGGAAAACTGAAGGCCTGCGTTTAATGGCAATTGTGTGTGTGTGTTGTCTTGAGCTCTTGAAAAGCAACGTCAGGGAGGGAACGACTCACCAAGGGAAACATCGGCCTGGAATCGGCGATACATTGCCAATCGAACAGCGATAAATCCCCGATAGCGAATCCGACCGTTCCTGGGCGCGGGTTGGGCTATCGGTCCCCTATCGGCGATGAAAATGCGATTTGGGTTCGATGCATCTCCCTCTGAGCCAAGCTATCTCGCCCTAGCGTTGCCCCTGGTGGCTCTGGGCCCATCGACTCTGGCTTCCCGCGGTCGTTCGGCACGATCCGAGCACCCCCCGAAAGCTCTCGACGAGGCGAAGCTGATGGAAGGCATCCCGAGGCTGGGAAGCTGCCGAAATGGGGCAAACAAGCCCGAGAACCTCAAACCTCGACAAGAAAACCACGAGTTCCCCTTCGATCCTTGGTCCGGCGGTCTTCCCAGCACCGCCTGCTCCACCAGCCCAGCAGCTCCTCGAGCTCGTCTGCGGCGAGGGGCGCCGGCAAGCGCGACAGCCCCTCGCTCAGCACCTCCGAGACGAGCCGGCATCGACGGCGCTGGCGATGGCGACGACGGCGACGACGGCGGCGACGGCGAAGACGACGGCGACGACCACGGCGAGCAGGGCGAGCAGGGCGACAGCGATGGCGGCGACAGCGACGACGTCGACGACGACTTGCAAGAACCCCCCAAAGGCTCATCCAAGAACCTCCGAATGCCTCCGAGAATCGCCGGAAAAGCCTTCGACACCCTTGCGACGATCCCTGGATCGAGATCAATCGGAAATCGCGTAAACTGAAATATGTTCGACAGTGTGGACCTCAAACGATAAGTTATTGCACTGTGGAGGTGAAAACTATGCGGTGTAAGCTAACTAGTGTACTCTATGCCGTGCGGCAACGTGGCGCAACCTCGGCTGATCCACCCGGCGCAAGGGACGCCAACGAGCGCCGACGACGTCGTACTGGGCGGTAGCGTGGGACATTCTCGGCGGACGCTACCAATTGGCTGCGAGTGAGACCCCTCAATGCAAGCACTGTTTTGACTATCTACAAGACCACCCAAACCTGACCCGAAGACCTAAATTTCGGGCTGGGGCGGGAGTGCGGATTCCATATGTGCTTTTCAATGTTCCCTGGCACCCCCCTCTGGATATGGAGGGCCAACTCGAGCCTTCGGGCTGAATTGGGGTGGTTTGGTGGGTGGTGATGTTTGGGAAACTCGCCATCGTTCGGATGTACCTTACCCGTGCATTCCTCGATTTCGTGAGTGTATTTTTGTTCGCGAGATGAGCCAAGATGCTCCTGGATGATCCTCGCCGAGAAACAAAGCACACGTCCGAGCGATGCCAAGGAACCGACAGAAGCCACAAGGAATCGCCGAAGACCGCGGCGCACCTCCGAAGCGCACTGGCCGTCGTACCGGCACCGGCGAAACGCGCCCTCCACGGCGGCCTCCCGCGGCCCCGAGGGCGCGGAGAAGCAGAAGCTGCCCGCGTGGTGGAGCCAGTCCACGGACCCTCGCCGGCAGGGCGACGGGAATAGGGGGCCACATGCGAACCCTACCCCTACCCCCCACGATTTCTGGGGGGAGGGTGGGGTTCACTTCGCTCGGGAGGTCCCGAACGAAGTGAACCCCACCCTCCCCCTCAGAAATCGTGGGGGGTAGGGGTAGGGTTCGCATGTGGACCCCTAGGGGACTGTATGGGGAGATCATAAAAGTACCGATGCCGATGCTCCCCGGACCAGTCCCAGGGTGCGTTCTGACCAGGACGTCTACGTAGGCGAATCCAGCGGTGGCGACGAGGGCCTCCCGGGAGGCCGAAGAGGGGGAAGATGGACGAAGGGCACTGGTATGGGTACCTCCTCCTCCCCAGACTGCACCCAGATATCCGACGAAGTGATTCCTCAAATCAGCAGTTTCGGGAGCGGCCAACAGGGGGGTGTCCAAGAGGGGGGGGTGCAAATCATGACCGGCGGCATGAGCGCGGCCCAGCGGGGGGGCCAGGGACGTAATGAGATAAGAAGAGGCGCCATGCAATCTGAGGAAAGATCATGGCCCCCGCCATGATGTCCGCCCCCCCCTCTCTTCCGCCCCCGAAAATCAGCAGCTCTTCCACGATTTCAGCCCTCGGGGGCCCGGGGCAGCGGACCCGGGGCAGAAGAGCTGCCCCCCGGGGAGGCGGTCGGGCCCTCTGAGAGGCCGCGGCCTAGAACAAAACCCCGTCGGCGGACGTCAGAACCCATCGAAGGGCCGAGGGACACACAAACAAGTGGACACACGTACCAGGACTCCTCATACAGTCGGGGGGTTGACCTAAGGAACCCTAAATAAGGAACGAGGCCCCTTTTTTCATAAGTGAACCTTCGACTTCCCATGGAATATTCAAGGACAAGGTGTGGAACACTTACGGAACACCGAGCCCCTCCACAACGAAAAGGGTTCCTTCTTCAGCGCCCCGACTGTATGCTCTATCATATTCTCGGGGTTCTCGTCTTCCCCCCCACCTTCCGCATGTGTCCCAGTTTGTCCCGAGAATCCACGTCTGCTTGCGTCTGTGTTTTTTTGTGTTCCCATCATTTTGGGCGACCCAAAAGGAGGTCCAGCTGAAAGGGGGTGGTGCAATAGACTTTGGGGCAATTGTATTACAGATGTATTGCGCCAGAGAAGTGTTTTGCATTGCATTGCAAGTAACGTATTGCGCGCGAAAATCCACCAATACATTTGCGCCCTGGAGTGTGTTGCACGCCACAGAATGCATCGCAACCCGGCACGTCTATCGCACCAAATCTATTGCACCACCCCCTCGTCGCTGGACCCCCTCTTGGGTCGACCCGAGTCTTTGTGCATCACAAGTGGCCCACCCCTGGCCATCGCTCGGACGTCCATTCCCTGTGTTTTCCTTCGGCTTCGTGCGTGGCTCCTTCGCCAAATGATCAGGGATGCTCCTCGATGGTCCTCGCCGCGAAAAGATGCACACGCCCGAGCGGTGCCAAGCCGGTGCCCCACCCGGGCCAGGCCGGGCCTGGCCCCTCCCGGGGGGGCCACAGGAGCGGCGTGCGCTGCGCCCTCCTGGCCTGGCCAGGGAGAGGCACGTGCCCCGCCTCCCCCTGGGCGCAAGATGGGCACGTCCTCTGAGAGGCGGACGCCCGAAACGGGCACGGAAAGAATGGTACAATGCGCAACAACAAGTGTTGTCCCAAACCAACAGCGGCCGCGATAGTGAGATCGATTGGAGACAGATCGAGTGAGACGTTGGTTCCTCCCCCCCGAACCTCCTTATCACCCGAAGGGTGGTCGTATAGGTAAATCTTGGGTATACTCTGGTACTTCTTCTCGTCTGGTGTGGAGGCCTGAAATGGGTACGGAAGAATTGGGTACGATGCCCTACAACATTTGCAGTTCAAAACCGACAGCGGCCGCTGATGGGCAGGCGGCCTTCTGTCTCAAATTGACACAAGCCGCGGCGGCGTGGACAGCGAGTCCTGTTCAAAATGAACTAGAACTGCTCTTGGGCATTGTACCCATTCTTTCCGTGCCCATCTCGTTCGTGCAGATCCTAGAGGCGGACTTTCGAGGACGAATAAAACATACCGCCAGACTCCGTCGGACAGGATGCGCGAGAGGACAACATGCCCTTCCGAGGGCCACACTGCCATAGGGCTGCAGGAGGCGTGGGTCGCGAGACGCAGGACACAAAGGCACCCTTGATTTGGCAAGGTCGACCTACGAATCCCGGCCGACTGTAGTCACAAAATGCGCCATAATGGCCAAAAGCAATCGGAAAATCGTCCATGGACTTTTTCTTTTTTTTTTATTTTGGAATTCTCCTCCTGTGGAAAGGACAGGACCGATTCAACACTTGGGCGCAGGATGGGTCTGGCCAGGGGCCTTGAATCTGTACACATACAAGAAGGGCCCTGGGACACACGCACACACAAACAGAAATAGACAAATCCAAGATCCCCAACCAGTTTCCCATACTTTGAGGGTTTTTGTCCTCTCCCCCACGTCCCAAACTTTCCCATATTTTCCTGGAGAGTCGACGATGCATTGTGTCTGTGTTGTTTCCCCACCTGAATACAATAGGAACTCGACCACAAAAGGCCTTCGACAAGGAACCCAATCCTGAGTTCTCAGGACATCGCTTGATCTTTGGTGTTGGAACGTCACGCTTTCCACAGCAAAACCATCGAAACCCACGAAACCCATGGCACCCTGGAGGCAAGGAAGGTGTTTCTTGGCATAGGCTTCCACTGTAGATACCGTCGCCCTGGCCGAAGCCGAAGCCGCCGCTGTCGCAGCCGACGCACGGCGATTCTCCACGGCTTTCTATTCGAAGATCGTCAAGTAGGTGTTCAACGGTCTTCGGTCGGTAAGCGTTTTTGTATTCGGCGTTTCGACATTGGGCGGAAAAGTGGGGGGAGGGTCTGTCTCCAGACCTCTGCTTAATGCGACGGTTTGCAGCAGTGCGTCCTATGGGAGAGGCCCCACATGCTCGAAACAGGCGCCCGAAACAGCCAAAATCTGCTCCACGGGGGGGGTGGGGGAGGAGGGAAATCCGCGCCGATCGGCAAAACAATGAATAAAGAACGACCACTAATTGTCCTCTGTTTTCTTGCGCTCCCGGAGGTACTCGGAATCTCAATGATGTTCTCGGAGGTCGTCGTCGTCGTCGACGCCGTCGCCGCCGCCACAACAAGCACGGGAATAGTGGCCCGTCAAGGAGGCAGGGGAAGGAGGAGGCGGGGGAGAAGGAGAGAAAGAAGGGGGAGGGGGAGGGAGAGGGAAGAGGAGGGAGAAGGAGAGAAGAGGAGGGAAGGGGAGAAGAAGAGGGAAGAGGAGGGAGAACGAGGGCGGAGGAGGATCCTCCATCCCTCCGCCCTCTGCCAAGAAATCGTCCTCGTCTGGCCGCCAGGCGTGCCGGTGGGCCGGGCGGGGATTTTGTTTCGAAGGGGCCCTGTGACACACAAAGAAATACACACAGATAGCATGATCCCCAATAGTTCCCCTAGCTTCTAAGTTTCTGTTTTCCCCCCACTTCCCATCTTGTCCAACTGGGAGTGGACGATTCATTGGGTCTGTGTGTGCTTCTTCCCCCTCCTGAGCTCAAGACTTGAGCCTCGACCGCGGTCCCGAGGCCCATATTGCCCAACAGACCCCGGATGTACAGGGGGCTGGTGCTGAGCATGCAGCGGTCGCCCCCTCGCCGCGCTTATCTGTCTGGAACGCGTCAGCAGCTGCGGGGGCGGAAGGCGGCCCGTTTTTCACAGTGTAACTCCCGCCCTGACGCCGCACGCGCTCGCCTGAAAAGCTTCAGCTTTATTTATTCCTTTTTTTTGCTCTCCCCACAGCCAGGAGGGCGCCGGCCCACTCAGCAAACCAATGGCAACCTCACCGTGCCCGCGAGGTGGACCCCGAGGTCCGGCCAGAACAACCCAGCGGACAGCAAATCGTGTCGGCCACGCTCGATACTGGGTGAAACGTTTTTCTCCCGCGCAGCGAATGGCCGGAAAATGATGCCTGAAGTGATCCACGCTCCGGCTGCCAAGAGAATCTGGTAAATGAGTCCTCTGGTGTGGTTCCCAGGGCCTCGGACGGCGCCAACAAAGTCCGCGCAGAACGGCTGAGGCGGCACCTGTGGATCACCCTACAGGGTCAACGCCAAAGCAGCTAGGTGGACAGGCAGATCCGGGGTTGACGCCGGCGTGTCGCACAAAGCGCGGGATGGGGGGAGGAGGAGGGAAGAAGAAGAGAGGGAGAGCAACGGGAAGAAGAGGGGCGACGGCGCAGTGCGAATGTCCCCACGCAGCCCAAACGCCGCCAAGAGGATGCAAAACAAAACGCACAGCGGCAAACCAGAGAGGAAGAGGAAGGAAGCCAACGAAACGAACGCGAGCGAAAGGAAGCGAGCGAGAACGAAAACAAGGAGGACATAGATTCACCCAAATACTGAAAAGTATACTTCTAAGGCAGCGGCTGCCGGCGGACGCTGGAAGCTCGCTGAATAACAGGAGCCCGTCCGGCGGGCACGCCCGCAATATGCACGCGCACATCGAACGACTAGAGGACACGAGGCGGCGCGCTGCAGTCAGCTAGGCTAACCAGAGGCGGCAGGGGAGGCACAAACCTCCGCAGACCTCACCCGAGGTCAGCGACGACGAAGGACACTGGCGTTGATGCTGGCGTAGGTCCTGGTGTCGGTGCTGCGCCAGCGTAGGTGCTGATGCTGGTGATGACTTCGGTGCTGGTGTAAGCGCTGGTGCTACTGCTGGCGCAGATGCCGATATTCGCGTTGGCGTCAGTGTTGGCGCCGTCGCAGGTGTAGACGCTGGCGTTGGTGCCACTGCAATCGCTCGCGCGCATGCTGGCGTCGGGGCTGGTGCAGGCGTCAGCGATCATGCTTGAGTCGGTGATGACAGCGGTGCTGGTGTAGCCGTTGGTGCTGGTGCCAGCGCAGGCGTGGGCGTTCCTGCTGGCGTCAGTGCAGGTTTTATCTGTGGCTCCATTTTCGCTGTC